GAAATGAATATTATCAGTAATTCTATGTTAACATTTTTGTGACATTTTTCTCAGTATTCTTTAATTATAAATATCTAATCCATGATTTGATCAGGCTTCAGAGTTTAAATTGGGGTGACAGGAGGAGTTTGGGGCTTTTTGTTGTTGCTGACCCTTGGACTCACCTTCAGGACCTCGCCTCTGCCCCAATTTATTTTTGGGTGCATCTTCTTTAGGGGGTATCTTGTGTCTGCTCACCAAGGGGTCTTCTCAGTATCACACACGTCTGCCATTTTTCTCCTCTCCTGCTCTGCCCTCCTTGGTGATGTTGGCTGCCAAAGTTTCCATCGCCTGCCAGGGAGGATGCCTCAGTAGCCCCCACACACTGGGCCTCTCCACCTTAGCTGGACAGCCTCCATTGTTAATGAGTGCATGTTGGTGGCCTCCGGGGGTGCTGGGCCTGCAGGCATCAGTTCTGGACACAGAGCAGCCTTGCTGTGTGTAGCCCCTCCCTTGAGGGGGACTTTTTCCTGGGAGCACTGGTAGTGCCGTTTTCCTGAAGGCTCTCTCCTGTCATCTGCCCCCCTTCCACCCCTGCCATCTTTCTAGTCCTGAGATAGCGCATGGAGGGCTGGGCAGGGGCAGCTGACACTTTGAGAACTGACAATCATGGGTCACAACCCTCTGCCTGATGACAAAAGCTCAGTACTTTGGCATTTACTACTTTCGAGCAGCAATTCTCTAAGTCTTCAGCATCAGTTTTCACTCTTAAAAATTAATGAGAACCTCAAACAGCTTTTGTTTACGTGGTTATAGCCATCAATATTTATCATATCAGAAATTAGAACTAAATTTTTTTGGAAATAGTTATTTCATTTAAAATAACAGCAACAACTCATTATATTTTAACAGGTAATATTTTAATGAAAATAACCAAAAAATGATATTTTTATGGAAAAAAAAAAGGTACCTCATTCTTGGGAATGATAGGATCATTTTTGTGCCTTATTCTGTGGTTCTTTAATTATTATTATTATTATTATTTTGCATACAAGAACTGGAATGGTGTGGGGTGAGAAGATTCACCAGAGACAGAGTGGGGTGCAGAACAGAAGGATTGACTGAAATACATTGCTAAGGGGAGCAGCGGTTGAGACAGGAGAGGTCTGCTGTGCCGTGTGGGTCAGCTCCCTGGCTGGGAATCAAACTCAGGCTGCAGTAGTTGCAGGTAGCTTCATAATGCTGAGACTTAACCCCTTGTGTCACCAGGGGGGCCCTAGACAGACAAATTCATCATGAAGAGAATAACTTTTAACCTCATTCTTCTCTACTTGATGTTTCTCTTTTGACTAACATTAGTTTACTGATGCAAAGAGATTGCTGGCTTCATGATCTTATAAAATCAAGTTGTTTAACATCTTTGTGCCTCAGTTTCCTCCTACTAATATGACTTAACACAGGCATACCTCATTGTATTGTGCTTCACTTTAATGTGCTTTGCAGATATTTAGATTTTTTTACAAGACATTCAGCCAGCAAAATAGTTTATGACTCACCTGAAGGTTCAGATGATAGTTAGTATTTTTTATCAATAAAGTATTTTCAAATTAAGGCTTGTATCATTTTAAAAAGTCATAATGCTATTGCATACTTAGTGGATTATAGCATAGTTTAAACATAAATTTTATATCACTGGGAAACCAAATAATTTGTGTGACTTGCCTTATGTGGTGGTCTGGAGCCAAACCCTCAGAATCTCCAAAGTGCATCTACACTATATTTCATGAGGTGGTTGTGGGGATTAAATATCTGAAACAATGCTTGACACATACTACGTGTTAAATAAGGCTTAATCCAGGCAAATGAATGGGACTAGGCCTGAAACATCCACTGGGTTTAGGTAGATGACACCGGGAGAATAGACAGTGTTGCAAATTCTGGAAAAGTTTATCCACCTGATAGAACACAACTGAAGGATGTGAACTGGAAACCACATTTATGATTCTAGGCAAAGCACCGAGCACTGAGGGTTTGGTATGGTTGTCTTAAACCAGAGACCGTGTGATGTCACCATCTCCCTGGCACTCTCTGGCCAATTAGAAATACAGGGATATGGTTAACATCATGATGTGGGTATGTTGTTGGCACAGAGTTTCTGGGGATGCAGTGTATGGGACTCAAAGAGAAATTCTCCTGTTTTAAAGGCCTAAAGCACCATTGCTGATGAAAGAGACCAGAATGATTTCAAAAGGCATGTCCGGGGATTGGGATGTGAGAGCAGAGATAGTGAGCTCAAGCTTCAATAGTTGGGGCTAGTCAATTACCAGCAAGAGGGCTGGATTCCTGTCTCCAGGGAGGGGGCAGAGATTGGAGAGATTTGGAGCTCCAAGTACATGAGAGCAGAGACATGGACTCCAGACCCTGAAGAACTTGGGACAGCTCTGCAGGACCATGGTTCCATCCTGAGTTCCACCCAGGCTCTGTCCCTTAAATGCTTGTGAGCTTTTATTTCTCTAAGTCTTGATTTCCTCTTCCGTAAGAGAATAGTAAGACACAGTGCAATTAAGAAAAGCTGCCATTTTTACTGTTGTTATTCATAACAATGACAGAGATCCAATTAGGAACATTCGGGTAAGAAGTTAGGATCATCATCTTAAGAAGACAGAGGTTCCGTTATCAGTGTCAAATACAAGATCACAGCTCAGTGAGGCATGGAGACAGAAGTCCTCAGTTCCTTGCTATGTCAGAATAGGGATGATTTGTGGGACAAGGATAGATCTGAGGATGCATTGGGTCCCTCTGTGAAGAGCAGAAAAGGGGAAGATACCAACTTTTCCATGAAAGCTAGTGGCTTAGCTGGGGAGTGAGGACTAAAGCCAACATTTCAAAAGCCCTAGCACATACAGCAGTACTGCATTATATAAAACGGTGGCTTTGTTGGGTATGCATGTTGGGGAGAGCAAATGTTTGAAAGAGCTTGACCAAAATGTTAACAGTAGGATACTGGGAGGTAAGAATACAACTTTTTAGAAAGGATCATGAATCTATTTTGCAATTGGAAAAAAATGTCAGTTCGATGTAATAGAAGGTAACTCATAATTCAGACTGAAGCGTTCTGGAACCCCCTATTAGTGAGAAGTCATGTTTTCTAGAATAGCGTGGGAAGGTCTCACAAGGAGGTGGCATTTCAGAGGTGCCTGAAGGATGGATAGGGTTTAGATATCTGGATGAGAGAAGACACTCTAGAAAGGAGATGCAATCAAGTGAATAGGGGTGCTCCTTGGTGACCTAGGGGTTAAGTCTCAGCGCTATCACCATTATGGCCTGAGTTCAATCCCTGGCCTGGGAGCTACCTACATGGAACAGCAGTCCTCTCCTATCTTACCACTGATCCCCTCAATCCACCTGTTCTGCTCCCCACTCTGTCTCTGGTGAACCTTCTCATCCCCTGTACCTCTGGCCTATACCCCAGTTCTACAAAATAAATATTTCTTTTTTAAAAAAGTCATGGCAGGTGGACCAGTTATCAGTTTGCCTCTCTCAGTTCTAAAGGCACTTTTTGCCCTGCTTTGTGATTCTGGAGCCCTGTAGAAATTGCTCTCTTGCCAGCTGGTATAACCCTAGGCTTTGTTCTGTTCCTGTGTATTCAGGGCATGGAGAAAGAATCCTCTGACCAAAGGAAGAACTACAAAGCGGAGACCAAGATTAGATAAAGTGCAAGAAAGTTATGCAGGGTCTTCAACTCCAGGCACAAGTTTTCCTGAACTGAAATCTCAGCATAGGGGCCTCCCTGGTGGCACAAGGGGTTAAGTGTCAGCACTGTGAAGCTGTCCACAGCCACTGCAGTAGTTCCATCCCCGGCCAGAGAAGTGACCCACATGTCCCAGCAGACCTCTCCTGTCTTGCCCACTGTCCCCCTTCACAGTGTATTTTGGTCAGTCCACCTGTTCTGCTCCCCACTCTGTCTCTGATGAATCCTCTCACCGCCTGCACCTGTGGCCTGTACCCCAGTTCTTATATGCATAAATAAATAAATCTTAAAAAAAAAAACTCAGCACAGCAGAAGGTCCCCTAGGGGCTGTCTGGTCAGCCTGCGAGGCTGCCAAGCACTGAAACTCCTGACCTGCTCTTTCCTTCCTCCACAGCCTATCTCTTGAAGGCACCAACTTCTCATATGGTTAAACTCTTCTCATACTACTTTACCTTTCTCACTATATTGCCATTACCTGCAATCCCCTCTGCCATTCCTTGATGGCTGGATAAACATTTGTCCTTCATAAGGCTCGTCAGGCATCATTTTGGTGAAAGATGTTTCCCTTAGTCCCCTTATTTCCTTCAATACATTCCTTCTAACTGCCTCTATGCCATGGGCCCAGTCATTTTAGCCTTAGTGGCCTTGTTTACCTTTTCCACTAGACTGAACTTCTCATTGGCTTTAATTTTCCCTTGTATCTCCAGAAACTAGCAGACTGCCTTGACTATAGCAGGTGAACTGAACTGATACAGCTGTGTCCCGACGCCTGAGGACATCTCTAGAAGCGAGAATTACTGGGGGGATTGGAGCAGTCAGAATGTCTGGATATTTTGATGTTTCTGGTTTAGGAGATGTTGGCGAGCCGATCTGTATTCTAATATAAATTTCATCAGCATGTTATTCTCTACCTGTCTCATGCACACGCAGGGCTAAGTGGTGGTGGGGCGGGGAGGGGGCATGTTGTTAGAATCTTCTGTTAATCCATCTGCTTTGGACCCAATCTATGAAATGATGACAAAGAAAACCTCTATAGTTCTTCCTGAAGTTTTTTTCCATGTGCATTTCATTTGAAATGCTCTCTTAACTTACAAGAGAGGAAAGTTCAGAGGCACACCACAGAATAGTCTTCACATTGCTGGCATTCTGCGAATTGAGCTGGTTAAGTGGCTTCTCAGGTCACTCTTACCTATCCCGAGCAGGGAGCATCTAGATTTTGATTGGGCTATTGCCAGAGCTGATTAACATAGTGTACCTTGACCTGGATTAGGAACAGCAACTCCGCATAGAAAATGACCAGAGCCTGCTGGGACCTGCAGCAGAGATGAGGCTTTTATGACACAGTATTTTCTGCACCTCCTGAAAGAAGTCAGAAGGTAAGAAGCCAGAAATCCTGAGGCAAATGTAAGGGATGTGGTAATGGCCACCTACTTATTCCTACAGGGTTTTATTTATTCTAGCTGCTTTTCCGTAGAAATGATGAAAATGGAATACGCTTTGAACTGAATTGTTTGGAAAAAAAGGGAAATCTGACAAATTTAGTTTTTTAATTTTGGAGAAAACTGTTTATGTTTAAGGGCGCAACGCAGACTTTTCTTCTCTAATATATTTTGTTCTTCACTTTCCGGGAAATATTAATGTTTATTCACTTGGTAAAAATTTATATCAGAAAAAAATTTAAAAAGCAATGTGATTTTTGATTCTCTAAATTTGAAAAACAATTATGTCTTTGGTTCAAAACAATGTTTTTGATTTTTGGAAGTGTGAATCTTATTGTTCAAGTTTTGTTTTTTAAGATCAAACTTTTCCAATTAGCTATAACAAATTTTAAACTCTTATTGTTGTTAGTATTCAAAGATGTGAGTATATAAAACGGTTGCTATCACATTAACACGTAATATTTATGTGTAATATACCTTCTATTCAATTCTTTTGAATTACTGCCAATCGTTTCTTAAGTAACTCAGTGTTTATTTCCCAAACGTAAAATTGGATATAAAACTAATGGGGATTTCGTCTTGCACCTCAGCGTTTGAACTGGGGAGCAGGGACTTCATGATCATTGAGTCTACAACCACTAGGTTGTTGGTGAGTGTGGGTAGGTAGGGTAGGGAGGGAAAAGCTTCCATTTAGTTTGTTATTTAATGGCCAAAAACTTCATTTACATGTTCAGGTCAACTATCTCTTATATCCATGCTCTTTCCTTCAGTCTATCTTAGACTGAAGGTATTAGAACTTTATAAAGTCAAATAACTAAGAAACAGCTCATGGGACTTCTCACAGGTCAGACTATTAATCTAACTTGCAGTTTGAGTTTACAAGCTGTCCCCTGTTTTTACAAGAGCACCAGTGATTGGAATGTCAAATGTTTCACTTCATATTCAGTAACAAGCACATTTAATCTACAAAACAATTAGTTATTTTTCTCACATTTAGTTCTTTTTCTTAGAGTATAACATTGAAAACTCCCTTCCTTTCTTCCTTCCTTCCTTCTTTCTTTCTTTTTGTATACCCCCTTTAATCAATTATACAGTTAGAAGCTAGAGCAGTATTTCTCATGGGGGAAGAAATGCAGTTTGCACAAACATTTTTATGCATCCAAGAACTGGGGTGTAAGCCAGAGATGCAGGGGCATGCACAGATTCATCAGAGACAGAGTGGGGAGCAGAACAGGCAGATCTACTGAAATACACTGCTGAGGGGAGCAGCGGGCGAGTCAGGAGAGGTCTGCTGCGCCATGTGGGTAGCTCCCTGGCCAGGGACGGAACTCATGTTGCAGTGGCGATAGCTTGATAGCACTGTGCCTTTAACCCCTGCTCACCAGGAAGGCCCTGCACAAACACTTTTTAATATTATTTATATAATACAATTTGATCAAAGTGAAGTGACACAGAACTTCAAGAAAGAATGAAATTGCTAAAGGTAAAGTTAGAAAGTGTTAAAGTGAACTTCGAATTAAAGTTTAGAAATGCTAATTTAGAGTCGTAGTTATTAAACAAATTTGGCTCACCCAGGAGACATTGAACACATTGTTGTGACCTTTTTGGTTGTCACAAGGAGGAAAGGGTTACTACTAGCACCAAGGGACAGAGACCAAGGGTGCTGCCCAAGTCAGTCCCCGACAACAAGGAATCCCAGGTCCAAAATATCTGCAACACCAAGGTTTTAGATGAGTCTGATATGGGTGATATCATGTGATAATACTTGAAGGAATAAGGTACACACTGGATTTATTGAGGAGACCAAAATAATCCCAAAGGCACTTTGGGTTTAAATAATATTCCTACGCGCATCTGATTATAATGTTTCCCTCTCATAACTTCAAGCACACGTTAACTAGCTTATGAAAACATGCCTGTAGCAACCAAGCCAAGCCAGCCCCCTCTTGCTCCAGCACAATGTGTGCCTGAAGGAATGGTTCTAACTATGGATACAGGTGACAATGGTCCCTTGAAGGAACTCACATCCTCTATTTAGCAATGAAAAAAGAAGCCTAAACCTGAGGGGGAAAGAAAAGATTTCAAGGGCTTCTGCGTCCCCATGGTCAAACTTTATTTCAGCAAGATTGCTATTGGTTTCTGAAAGGTCCATGCAGCAGGCCGGAATGCAAAAGCCTACCCGGAAGCCCACCTGGGGGGCAGGAATGCGGATACCTGCCTGGAGGACTCAGACAGTTTCTATGTTTTTTCTTTTTATTGTATGTTGGTGCTTGCAAAAATGTCATTGAAAGTCATTTTTTTCTGGCAGACAAGTACTGATTTTTGCCTCCTTAACAATCATCATTATTATCATTCATATTTTTTTTTTTTAGCATCAGAAAACAGTCTCCTGGTCTGAGCTCCTCCTGTGGACCAAACCAACCATATTAAGAGCCTTTGAGAGAAAAATTCTCAAGCATTCTGAGGGGAGTTGAATAGAGAGAAGCCTGCAGGTGACCTGATTTATCATGCAACCTGAGGACTTTGGTTCTGAAGACAAAGAGATGTTAAGCTGGGATATTAATGACATGAAACTGCCACAGGTAGGTACTTGTTAGAAGATTCTGCCTTCAGCATTTGGCTATGAAACCTTGACTATTTATTTGCTAAGACCTGGAAGGAAATTGGTATGGGTCCCAACGGTGTAAACTCCTCTCCCCAAGAACTTCAGTTGGATGTTTATTTGACTGAGGAATTTTAAGAGAAGACACAAAACCCATGATTTGAGGGAGCTTTACCCAGCAGACCGGGGAAAGAAAATACTACTTCCCTTCCCTTTCCAAGTTGGCTTGTCTCTGGCCACACCCACCTGGCAAGCTAGTAGGAAAAAAATCCATGATAATGTATATGTGCATAGTTGATTCTTCATAATGTGTAAGTCCCCACACAACCCAATTTGCCCCAGTGATGGTTTTAAACTGTCTGCAACTGGATTGTCCAAACACCAATGCTCTAGCGGGATACAACATGCTCTTCGAGAATATTTGTACACAATGTTCAGTACATACATAAGGCTGCTTTCCAGCTATAGAATGACTGTAATGTTTTCTTTACCTTCATTTTTGGCAACCAACTTCCTAATTATTATTTTGGCAGAAAACACTCATATTTTAATGTTTGTTTACCTTGACCTCTCTTTTTGGCATCTGAAGGAGAGACCTGGAAATTGTTTAAAAAGGTAACTATGAAGACTAACTGTGGGGACTACCGGTTCCAAGTAGTGAAAAGGTTCAGCTAATCTGCCCGACTCTGGGGAATACGAAACTTGGATTATCCCAGACAGAGGAGAGGGAAGGGGGGCCCCACAGCATTCCAGTTTTACATTTTAAAGATTTATTTTTATTTATTTATGCATACAAGAACAGGGGCAGGGGTGCAGGCCAGAGGTGCAGGGGGTGAGAGGATTCATCAGAGACAGCGTGGGGAACAGAACAGGTGGACTGACGGAAATACACTGCTGAGGGGAGCAGAGGGCGAGACAGGAGAGGTCTGCTGTGCCATGTGGGTCAGCTCCCTGGCCGGGAATGGAACTGGTGCTGCAGTGGCTGGATAGCTTGAAGGTACTGTGACCTAGCTCCTTGTTAACTCCTTGTGCTACCAGGGAGGCCCCAGATTTACATTTTAATGAAAAATTCCAGATCAGTCCAGATTTCACTCTAATGGAAATTTTCTTTTGTTTCTCCTTAAACTCCCTGCTCTTCCTCCCTTCCTCCTCCCCCCTCCCCCATTCATTCTCTCTTGGTAGGTCTTGAAAGAGTTGGAGAGTTAAAGTGTGTGCCCTACTTTCTCTTACTTTTAGGATGGTTTAATAAGCCACAGCTCAATCATTCCAATATTCATTTCACAGATGTGCGTTTAGAGTTGCTCTTAATTGGTATTAACCATTATTGTAGCTGTATGAAGGGAAGCTTTAAGATAAATTTTAATTACTACTGGATCAGGGATCCATAGTTCTGCTTACTCCTAATTTCAGGTTGCAGCTCCCAAATAGAAGTTGGGCATACTCAAAATCAAGAGTTGAAGTAAGCAAGTACATGGAAGACATTACCATTATCACATCCTAAAGCAGCGGTTTTAAAGGGGTCTGACAAACCCTCTGATGGGGCACACAGCCTGTGTACTGACATGCATCTTTTCTGGGTGAGAGGCTACATATCATTCATTAGATCTGTAGACAAAAGAAAGGAAGACCCACTTCCTTGGAGAAAACCTCAGGACTAGCAAAATTTCATGTTCCAACACGCATTTCCAAAACCAAAAGCATTCTCAGCTACCTCAGACGTTAAATTGAGAAACTGATGACAAAAATACACATTCAATTTAAGAATGTATCATTTATAGTTCATAGAAAAAGTTTGCTCATGTATGGAAACAGCTAAGTGTTTTCAATTTGTTAAAGATGCCAGAGAAATGATTAAATGCATACGTGCCTTAATGTGCAGAGAAAACAGCACATCTGGGTTTCTGTTGGCTCTGGAATCAGATCAAGAAATAGTTGAGGTGAAAGATCAGAGATCTTGGAAGAATGTCCGAGCATATTGGATTTCATATTTTGTAAACCTATCTGGCTGCAGAATGGCGAACTAGGGGAAGCAGACTCAGAAATACTGGGGACAGTAAACTGTGTTAACCTCCATGGAAGATCTCATGATCTCCTGGGCTTATGGACACAACTAGTACTGAGATAGAGAGTCAATGCCAGCTAGAAGGATACTAGAGGTGCAGGAAAGAGCAAGTATGTCATTCAGCATGACTCAGGCATGGGGAGCAAGGCAGAGTATCTGGCAAAGTGTTTTCTCTAGAGAAGTGCATTGCAAAATGTGAACATGAAGATGGGTGACAATTAGGGCAGAGCAGGGCATCAATCTGAAGGCTCTTCAAAGTCTACATTTGCAGGACCTGTGCACAGGCATTAAGCAAAGAGCTTTGTGAGGCTAGTGGCTGGAAAGGTAGTCTGAAAGTAGGCTATGCTAACAGGATTCGGTGATTTTATAGGCGATGGGATGCCATTTGGCTTACCAGGCTGGAAAGTGTCATGATCAGATGTAGGGCTAAGAAAGGCCCTGATCCTTCTCATTCTATCTGGCTTCTGTAAATCATCCCTCCCCTGTATTTGTTTCATGTATTTTTCTCCTTTCAGCTGTATATATGTCTTTATAAACTTCATTTCATATGCTTCTGGTCACTCCTCTAACTTGTGGTTATGTTCATGCCATTTCTACCTTAATCCAGCCTCCAGGTAGCCAGCCCAGAACCCCAGGCATTTAACTTATCAAAATCATCACTGATATGTCTCTTTTTTCCCAGGCCAATGTCATATACCCACTTTGCTATCCCTTCCTATTTCTCTTAAATTACATTTGCATTTTAAAAATTCAAATGTGAATGCTTAGGGTTGAATGGCCCAAGCAGCAAGTGTCTAGTGTTGGTTTTGTCCTGTCTTCATTAAATATGTTCATGACATGGCCCCATCAAGTGGTATACTCTCATTAACACGACTGTGATACACGAAAGAGTCTTGAATCCCTAAGAAGTTTCTTTTTCTTTTCTGATTGAAAATTGGGGGAATAAAAATCTTTTTTCTCTTCTCCTAAATAGTACCCATTTCAGCAGAGAGAAGAGAGCACCACTCTACACTAAGCAGAGTACTGGCTATTCTGATGGCACCACCACAGATAGACATGCTGAATCATTTTGTTCGTAAGCACAAGCTGCTATCAGACTCAACCTGTGAGAAAAACCACACTTGAGTCACTAACTCACAAAATTTCAAGGTCTAAGTACATTATTTTTGTAGAGAAAACATAAAAATATCCATAGGTTAAACATAAAAGCAGACCAACTTAAAACCTGGTTAATCAACCACAAAGAGGTCAAATCTCCAATCAGTTAATTTCCTGGATCATGATTTTAACGAGTAAAATATCCTTTCCTCTGAAGGGCAGTGAACCCCAAGTTATGAGCAAAGGTGAATCTTCAAGCTCTTTCTGCAAATTTCTGTGACTAAATTGTAATCAGAGCGAGTCAGTTGTAGTAATCTCTGTGTTTTGGTGCTAGGGAACTAACAGGTAAACCAGATTCTGAATTGCTTGTCAATTATTATCTGACTGCATGATCAGGTCACATTGTTGTTGAGTTAACTCCTTAGGCTTAACTCTGGTGTAATGAGGATGAGAGCTTTACTGCATCTGTGGTAGCAGATTCTCTTCTGGGCACCCACTGGCAGGTTCCCTGCTTGTTGGGTGGGGAGAGGAGAAAAAAGAGGTGATAAGAGAGTTTGAAAGCCGAGGTACCCTGGCTCCTCTTAGTGTTGTCTGAACAAATAAGAACTTTTTGTCCTTAGTCTTCATCGCTTACCAAAGGTAGCAAACTGCAGGGTTAGCCTAAGGAGTAACTCAAAAGCATTTTGTAGAATTAAATTGTTTTCTTTGATGTCATTTGGAGTTTGGTTTCCAGCTGGGTCAAAAGAGAGATGTACCTGAAAAGCTGTGTGTAAATCAAAATGTTAGTTGAATATTTGTTTCTGTGTTCCATTAGCAACATCCGACTTTTCTTCATCTATTTGATTTACTTAAAGGTGTACCTGCTTGCTGTCCCTATTTTACTTGGGAGCAAATGTATATAAGAAATTGATGTGCTTTTCTTATTAAGGAGAATCTGGCAGATAATTGCTTTAAATGAGGGTAAACGATATTCCAAATGGAAATCAACTGTAATATAATAACATGATAATGTAGATTTTTAAAATATTTTATTTTTTAGAATTTTTATTTTAATTGATTAATTTTATATAATAGTATATACTTTATTCTTAAGGTAGTTACCCTATTAAAACCTCAAGTAGTTAAATAAATAGAATGAAGTTAGGGTGAGAAGTTTCAAAGATTTTGAGTGAATTCAAGGATAAAGTCTTAGTAAACCATACACACAGAAGTCATAAAAATATTAAACTGCCAGGGCCTCCCCAGTGGCGCAGCGGTTGAGCCCTGGGTTGCGAAGCTGCCCATGGCCTCTGCGGCGCCGGTTCGATCCCCGGCTGCTTCCCGGCCACCGGAGGAGGATCCCACATGGCGCGCAGACCTCTCCTGCCGCCCGCTGCTCCCCTCAGCAGTGTACTTCGGTCCTTCTGCCTGCTCTGCTCCCCGCTCTGGCTCTGGTGAATTCTCTCACCCTCCCGCGCTTCTGACTGTACCGAGTGCATGTATAAACAAACAAACAAATAAATAAAACATGCCTCTATAAAAAAAAAAAATTAAACTGCCAATGATGTTACTTATGAGATTATAAAATATAAACTGGTTAGATTTACATCTTGGAAACCGTAAGAGTACTCCCTTTAAATCACAAACTTCTTAACCAAGACAAAAAATAAAGAGTTACTCATGAAAAGTTAGAAATTAAAATAAACAAAAGATCTAAAAAGAAGAAAATATTTTGTGGGGATTCGCTAAACAAGATTAAGAAATGATTATTCTTTCTTTTTAAATTTTACCTCCCCAGTGCCTTCAAATTTCAATGTCAAAAAAATCCCACTAAGTATCCAGGACAAATGACTGAGCACAAATAAGACAAGAGAACAGCCCTATGTAAACATATTACTCTTAGTAAATACATTTAGGCCTAGTGGTCTTCTTATTCCATATGTTATCAAAATTATCACTACGTTAGTAACAGCAGTGGAAAACTAGGGTATCAGTGGAAGAGGCTACTGGGGAAAAAAAAAAAGCTGGAAAGACAGTGTAATGTAGAACATATTGTGACCTCCAAATCCATCCCAACAATGTTGAAATAATTGAAAACACAGAGTGCCTTCTCCAACTATAGTGGAATCAAAGTAGAAATTAATAGCAAAAGGCAACAGGAAAGTCTGTGAATATATGGGAACAAGACAAGCTATTTCTAAATAATTCATGGACCAAAGTGGAGGCCTCAAAAAGAGATCAAAACATTCCATTAAATTGAGTGAAAATGAAAGAAGACAGCAGTGCGCATCTCCTCCGCCACAGGCAGAGAGCCTGCTGGAAGCAGAACTTCTTGAGACGCCCTCACAGATACTCCCTTCTTGTGATTCAAGGGATCGATGTTACTGAATAGCCTTGAACAGATCACTTACATTTAAAACATGAAAATTAGCTTTTTCAAGTCCACTTTACTCTTTGCTCTGCTAGTCTGACTTAATATTTGAATAATTCCAATCCACCAGTAGATTCACAGCCCATATTTTAACATTTTAACCAGCATTTGTATTATTTCCAAGATCAAATATCATGCTTTCTATGGCATTTCTGTGATAGAAAATAAGAGAGCATTGTTTGGAGCTTTAGGTCAGAAGGAAAAGAAGGTGAGAGGAGAAAGTGGGAGGAGGCCTGCCTGCAGTGCCCCACCTGCCTGGATGCTGAGTCTTTTTTTTTTTTAAGATTTATTTTATTTATTTATGCATACAATAACTGGAGTGTAGGACAGAGTTGTGAGGGGTAAGAGGATTTACCAGAGAGAGTGGGGAACAGAACAGGCAGACTGACTGAAATACACTGCTGAGGGAAGCAGTGGGCGAGACAGGAGAGTTCTGCCTCACCATGTGGGCTAGACCCCCAGCTGGGGATCGAACTGGTGCTGCAGTGGCTGCTGATAGCTTCATGGTGTTAAGACTTAACCACTTGTGCCACCAGGGAGGTCCCCTGGACACTGAATGTTACTGAAGTTTTGGGAGGCAGAAGGAAAGACCTGGAAAAAGCAGACAGCCCCTTGAGCATCTCAGCCTGCCTGATGGAGCAGAGGGACTTCTCCAGATGCCAGCTCCTATGATTTATACCTCTCCATTCACCTCTCCATTCTCTTCTTGGGCACATTCCCCTTCCCATGCCAGTTACTCTGCCATATGTGAGGGGTCAGTCGTCACTGCTCTGAGAAGGAAGGTCATAGAACAAGAGCTGCACACATGAAGTTTTTGTTTTATAGGGACTGGACACTTGCCGTGCACTTGGCTTGGCAAGGTTTAAAGCATGAAGGGACGGTTTCAGGTTCTTCTCTCTCCTAAAAGCCAATGGCTCTTACAATCGCATTGGCTGGCTGTGTGTGTTTCCAGATCTAGTAAAATATTTGGAACCTGCTATGTGCCAGGCACTGATTCAAATACTTTGTGTATGTTAGCTCATTCGACCTTCATAACATCCCAGTGAGGTAGGTACTTCCGTCATCTCCATTTTAAAGAGCTGGATGCAGGCACTGAGAGGTCAAGGAATTTCCTTAAGACCCACACCCAGGTCATCTGCCTCACCAGCTGTGCCCTTCTGCAGGAGTCACCGAATTTTCCATGAAGGGGTAGATGGTAAATATTTTAGTCTTTGTGGGCCATGCAGTCTCTGCCACAACTACTCAGCTTTGCAGAAGTTGTATAAAATTATCCAGACAGCACCCAAATGAACAAAAATGGTTGTGATTTTACCCATGTAATTTGCCTATGTAATTTGCAGATCCCGGCTCCAACTCTGACCCCCCAACCTTGCAGTTACACAAAATCTCTCATTCATACTTCTTCAGAATCACCTCAGTTCCCATGGCATCCCAATTCAAGCAACAACTATCATTATACAAGATTTCAAGTTTATAGCACATCACTTTGGAGCACTTCTGTGAGGCATGATTTATCAATATCCGTATTTTAGAAAAGAGCAAAGCAAGGCTGCGGAGACAAAGTCATTTGCCCAGAATCTCCTGTTACAAAGTTCTTTAGCTCATTCTAAACTTGAAATCTCAAGAGTTACCAAACTTCCCATGCTGCCCTTCCATCGTGATGCTGACATTAGCCTTTTTTCCTTCTAAAACGTCTTATCTTTCCTGTCTCGAACTCTATGCTGTGTTTTCATGTTGGAGAAACAAAAAAGAAGCACTCTGCCCCTTTTTTGGCCCTTCTAGATTCTTCTATTCTTCTATCTTATTCTAGACCCTTCTAAAATCATCCAGGCAAAAAATGGTCTTATACCATGTCAGGTCTTTGGATGATGTGGGGATGGACACCAACTAAGACTGACTGAGACTGCTGAATTATTCTCCCTCTATGAACTACTCTGTCAAATGCAGCACTTGTACCCCTAAGGACCTCAGGATGTAAGCCACACCATTCATTAGCCACTAACATTTATTGAGAGCTCACTCCATGCCAGGTGTTGTGCAAGTTTATAATATATTTAATTTTCAGAATCACTCTTAAGATAGGCAGGTCTTATGGTTCCTGTAAAACAGGTGAAAACAGGCGGTATAGATGCTGTAAGGATTGAGTACTGTGTCCCCTGTGTAAAGCACACTTTAGTTTAACTAGATGCTCATGTGCAGGGAATAGTATCAATCCTGGGCAAGAACATAGAAACTTCTAGCTAAAGTTAATTCTTCCTGACTCCTCTGCCCTGTCTAAGGTGCATGAATCTGGGAGTAGAGCAAAAGCAAGAGCAGGTCTGCGGGAGAGAAGTGCCTCCCGGAGCCCTCCCACACCAGGCTCTCCAGCTTGCCCACTGTTTATCTCAGTATTCTCAATGAGCTAACCAGAGTGCGCTATGAGGCACAATCTCCACGCCACAATATTTTCCACAGGGGTTGCGCAACGGCACAAAAATATTACTTCACTCTCAAAAATTCCAATGAGAAATGATCGAAGCTCTTATCACCATGAGCTAGAGAAACATCAGTTGGGTGGAACTCGGAGAAACTAACGTACTTTTGGTCCAGGCCGCGCACGGTCCCTAAGCGCAGTCCTGTGGGTGGCGCTGCGCCCTGTTCTCAGCGCGCCCCTTCAGAATGACATCCAGGCTGGCCTATGCCAAGGGTTCTTGCCCTACTCTCCAATGGCAAAACAACCCTCACGTCTCTGGGCATTGGTATTTTCTAAGCTTAAAATAGAGTAATTGGCTCTGATTCTATCAGGACGTGAAAAAGACCGACTGGTTCCAGGAGTGGCCAGATTCCTACGAGAAGTACATCTACAGCTCAGAGGACAGGAACGCGCAGCGGCACCTGAGCAGCTGGGCCATGCGCAACACCAACAACCACAACTCGCGGATCCTCAAGAAGTCCTGCCTGGGCGTGGTGGTGTGCAGCCTGGACTGCTCCGTGGACGAGGGGCGCAAGATCTACCTGAGACCTGCCATCTGTGACAAAGCCCGGCAGAAGCAGCAGAGTGAGTAGGGCTTCCGGGCACCGGTCCCCCAGGAAGCTCGTGTCCCTTCAGATGGCCCTGCCCAGAAGGGCCACTACTACCCAGCCCATCCCCAGGGCCCAGCTGCTCACTGGCCTGTGATGGCGACTAAGGCCCTTCCTAGGTTGAGCTAGTCCCTCATTTCCAAGTACCTGCCTATGGTTCTGTCATCCCCAGGGCACCTGCCATTAAAGTGACTCCCTTGGGTTCCTGACCCAAGATCCCTCTTTAAAAGGAAGATACACCACTTGGGGAACTCACATTAATTCATCAGGGCATCCACATAAAGTCTAGGAGAAAGATCTTAACAAGTGCTTTGGAGTGGGAGCAATGACACCAAATCTGAGGTTAGACTAAATTCCTTGCTGTGTAGGTTTTATGTCATAATCACATGTTATTTGTGCATTTTGGTGTTGGTTTGTTTTTTTTTTTTTATCATATTCATCAGATTGTAAAATAGATACATTCATCATTTCCTGCACCTGGTCCACTTGAGACCTCAAATTACTTCATGTTCTTTCCTTGAAATCTGTCCTCAAAACTTGCTCTAGGGCAGGATCTGGTATTAGTCATTTACACTTTGGTGAACATTAGTAACTGTTTTCCCATATGGTTTGTCCCTTAAGCCTTAGTTTTAATTTTTTTTTTTAAGAATTATTCTTCTATTGTAGTTGTTTTTTGTTTATTTTGTGTATGTGTGTGAAGAGTTGGGGTGCAGGACAGAGGTTTGGGAGATGAGAGGATTCACCAGAGACAGTGTGGGGAACAGAACAGGCAGATCGACTGAAATACACTGCTGAGGGGAGCAGGAGAGCTCTGCTGCACCATGTGGGTTAGCTTCCTGGCCAGGGATCAAACTCAGGCCACTGAGGCGATAACACTGAGATTTAACCTGCAGGCCACCAGGAAGGCCTCTTAGTTCTACTCTTAAAGTGAAAGAAGTTAACCCTCTGCTTTATGAAGAATTTTAAGTATCAGTAAATAGGTAGGGAGGGGAGAAGCGCTCTCCCATGTCGTGTGATATGTTCCATTCTACAAGTAACCCTTACTCTACGCATGTGTGAGACTAGGCAGGCCCATTATGGTGGCCAGGCCCAGGCTCAGGGGTAATGCCCAGTGCAGGAAATTCACCAAACTGTGCCCAGGTGTATTCCTTACTCTCCTGAACTTCAGGCTAAAACCTTCAGCACCATGTAGACTCGGGAGTCAGCTGGCATTACTCAGCCAGGCTTGGTCACTTTCCTCTGCTTTTTGTAGGGAAACGCTGCCCCAACTGTGATGGGCCACTGAAGCTAATTCCTTGCCGAGGCCACGGGGGCTTCCCGGTCACCAACTTCTGGCGGCATGATGGGCGCTTCATATTTTTCCAGGTTGGTTTTGAAAAAGTTATGATACCATTTTTCTTTAATTTAAAAGACTGTCTGCAGAGCATGAGGAAGAGTTCTGTACAGGAGATGCACAGGTGGCTGAGGATCCACATAAACCCTGAGGCACACTCTGGATCAGGAGGTGGAAGATGGGAGCTATGCATGTACCCCACACCTCCACAGAGCTGCCTGCTGACTCTACCTCAATCTCCCTTGAGGACACAGTAATCTGGTCATGCTCAGCTTAGCACAGGCCTTCAGTAGCCTTCCACAAACCCAGAATTGAATACCAGCTCTGACTTTTAACTAGCTCTTTAAACCTGAATATATTTCCTTACTCCCCCAAGCCTCAGTTTTCTTTGGATGTACTAACTGGGCCAGTGGTGTAAATAGTCATGGAAAGTGGCCTTTGATTGTGGACTGCCTGGGTTTGAATCAGTGGTGTGATAGCAAATCCACTCTTTAAAATGTCCCAATTTGTTGGGTTTGCCCATTTTTGTGATATAACTATTCCCACTGTGGTTGATTTCAAAATACTGGCTGTTTTGTTGTGTTGTTTGTTTTGTTTGTTTGTTTTGTTTTGTTTTGTTTTTAGCGAAAAAGCTCACAAAATTCCTGAATGTCTAACAATTGGTTCTCAGGGTGGCCAGTTCCAGCACACTTTGAATTCTGGCTCCCCTCACTCACTATTAAGGAACTGACACAGGTGGTATAATTTTTCCATGCCTTAGTTTCCTATTTTGTAAAATGGCATGACAGTAATGTGACTAGGGTTGTGCTGAAGATTAAAGAGATCATGTGTTTATCGCAACCTTTTATATACATACGATAGGCAGCATTTAATAAATGTTACTTGCTATCACCATGAGTATACCAAGTGGGTGAGAGGCTGCATGGGAAGAAGGAACACTATAAATAAGGCAGGCAGGGAGGAAAGTGCATGGAGGGCTTGGAACTTTAGAGGTTTATCCAACCTGGTTACAATAGTCAACTGCAGCTATACCCAGGCATACGGCAGGGCACAAGATAAAATTTTACACACCATGAAGTATAATCTAGTTACTCATTTTACTTCCTCGACTCCTTTAAGTCAAAGGGAGAGCATGATCATCCCAAACCAGAAACCAAATTGGAAGCTGAGGCAAGAAGAGCAATGAAGAAAGCACATGCAGCATCTTCCTCCGCCTCTTTAAAGCTGAAGGGAGGCCCAGAGACAAAGGTAACCTTTTCCACATATGTTCAATATATACAACAACTTAACACCCTTGTGGTCAGAGCAGTAGAGTTCTCCGATCCTTTGCCTACAAAAGTCATACTAACAGACTCATCTACAAGCAAAAATCTGCCAGCAAAACTGAATCTGGGTTTTAGTCATCCATTCGGCCATCTGTGTAGCACGCTGTCAACCATAAACGCCATATAATATTAGATTTTTCTTACCTACTACTATTCAAAACAGAGACTTCAATTAGTACTTATATCTAGGACTCTGTATTTTCGTCTGGCAGAGCCAAAATTAACTGAAACAAATTTCACAAAATATTGACCCTTTATTCCTCCCATACCCCAAATTTCCATTCTTTCCCAGGACAGATTATTTCTTAGCACACTCGACAAGAGGACATAACCAGACTGTTTCTGGAAACAAGGGTCACTCTGGGGATGAGGGATGGAGGTTACTGCCTATAGCCAAACTGTGATGTGAAATCCATGGATTTATTGGCATTATACCATTGATTTGTGTGTGGATTTGCTTGCTTAACAGTGGTTGTAATTCTTACATTTTTTTCTACCATTCAATGCTCTGGATTTCTTCTGAGGAGAACAAAGATGGAGTTGGTCCATCTGTGGAGGCTGTAAATGTACCTTACGTGGAAAAATACATGAGTCTGTTATAGGACAATGTAAGCCCCCAAACTCCAATGGCTGTTGCTCATCCCTTCTCCCAGCCATGGGACAAAGCTGAAGGGTATTTTCACCCATTCACTGACCAGGTCACAGTTCCTACCCCATTTCTTATTGGTCAGCAGGTTCACATAAACAAGAGGATAACTTAATTCTCAACCATATCCCTTTGCTATGATTAATTGGAAGAAATCTAGAGGTCCCGTTCATGATTCAGCAAAATTCCCATGTGTTCCGAGAGGTGTGTTGTGGGGGAAAAAAAAAAAAACACAACAAACTCTGGTCTATTAGACTCTGAATCCACTAAAAATGGAAAAATCCAGGAGGGAAATGATGAGAGAGAGAGGAGGGTGAGAGGAGCATGATAAGGAGGAAGAGGGCCCCCAAGAGTTATATTGAGTATAATATAAATCTTTAAAGTTGTAACTTGATTTTTCCTAAATAGCCCCTTCCAAGTTTCTCACAGATAGATAAATATCAGGTTTACTTTTGATGGTAAAACACTTCAAACACACTAGCTCTCCTCAGAATAAATGGAAAGCCAGCCCTTACTGATTAGTAAGTTTTCAAATGGAAATGGAAGCAGCCTTCTCTTCTTTTGGGTTTTGACTGTTTGTGGTACAGCTGCCCTGTGTGTTGGTGCTTCAAGTATGTGAGGAATGAGGAAACAGAGTACTTATTTGTACAGAGTAACTTGTGGGTGTCTTGGGCAGTTGTGCCCATTAGTTTAACTTATTAACATGAGCATTTCGTTTTCTTTTCCAGTCTCTTCCAGGTGAAATACAAAGTTGGGGGAGTTTACCTTTAACCTGGCCTTCCCAAGAAGGTGTCCAGTTGCCTGGTAGTTATAGTGGACATTTAATAGCTAATGCTCCCCAGCAGAAGTCACTGAATGATTGCTTACCCTTCTCCAAGAGTTATGGTTTTGGGGCAGCCAGTGATCTGGCAGACCCCGCTTCCACCATGGGCCCCGCTAAGCTCTATGAGAAATGCAAATTGTCCAGCAGTAGGATCTACAATAGCAGTGACCTGCTCCAACCTTCTGTCTCTGGAGCTTTCTCTGACTACAGTGATCTGCAAACATGGAATAAAAATGCTGCTTTTGGAAGAAATCCTCTCAGTGACAACTGTTGCCCCAGTTATCCGTTTCCTCTGACCGGCTGGCCTTACGACTTCACCCCTTCCCAGAACTCTTCAGAACACTTTTCTCAGCAGATTCCAGTGGAACCCCCTGCAACCAAAACTAGTTGCCACTCATTATGGCCAAATCCAGGGGGTGATCTTTATGAAGAGAAGGTGCATGTGGATTTTAACAGCTACTTCTCATCTACCACATGCCATTCACCCCAGGAAGACCCCTTTCTCCTCACCTATACCTCTCATCCTCACCATCCATATTCACTGCCAGGCAAGAGCAACAAATGGGGTTTTGATGAAGAAATGAGATGCATGGGTTTGGATCACTGCAATAATGAGATGCTTCTAAACCTCTGTCCTTTAAGATGACCCAAACCTGAACCCTATTGGTGGACTGTATCTTGGTGCAGCCTCTATGAAAACACAGTATGGAGAGTCCTCAAAACAAAAAACAAACAAAAAAAAAACCCTACCATATGATCCAGCAATTCTATTTAGGGGTGTTTTTTCCCTACAAATTTATTTATTCATGCATACCAGAGGAGGGGTGTACACCAGAGGTGCAGAAGGGGAGAGGGGGTGGTTGAAAGGATTCACCAGAGACAAAGCAGGGAGCAGAACATGCAGCTTGACTGAAATACACTGCTGAGGAGACCAGCTCGCCATATGTATCAACTCTCTGGCCGGGCATCAAACTTGTGCTATAGTGGCTGCGACAGCCTCATGGTGCTGAGACTTAACCTCCTGTGCCACCAGGAAGGTTCTCTACTTCAGGGTATTTATCTGAAGAAAATGAAAACACTAACTCAAAAAGATATGCACCCCAATATTCAAGGCAGCATTATTTACAATAACTGAGACAAGGAAAAATGCAAAACACCTAAGTGCCCATTGGCAGACAAATATATAAAGAAAAAAGTGTGTGTGTGTGTGTGTGTGTGTGTGTGTGGTCATGTATCACATAATGATATTTTCTTCAACAACAGACTACATATGTGACTGTGGTCGCAGAGGCCACACCATAGAGTGGAGGTGTGTAGTGGGCTGTATCATCTAGGTTTTTGTGTGCACACTCTCTGATGTTCATACAGTAACACAGTTGCCTAACAATGTATTTCTCAGAACTTGTCCCTGTCATAAAGCAATGCATAATACACACACACACACACACACACACACACACAGAGAGAATACTATTTAATCCTATAGAAGAAAGGAATCCTATTATTTGTGATATGATGGGTGACTTTGAAGACATTATGCTTAGTGAAATAAGTCAGACAGAGAAAGAAAAATGCTGCAGATCTCACTTGTATGTGGAATATATATATCTATATAGATATCTATATAGATATATATATAAACTCAGAAATATCAGTTTTGTGGTTTCCACAGGGGCAGGTGGGTGGTAGGCAATACGTGGTCCAAAGGTATGCATAAACTTGGAATTTTAAAGATCTGGAGATGTAATATTTAACACGGTGTCTATAGTTAAACAATACTATATTGTATATTTGAAAGTTGCTAAGGGAGTAGTTCTTAAAAGTTCTCATCACAAGGAAAAGAATTATGAATTATAACTGTGGTGATGGATGGTACCTAATTTTACTATGGCAATCATTTTGTAGTGTACATGTATATATATTAAATCATTATGTTATAAACCTGAAACCGCACAATATTAATGTCAATTATATTTCAATAAAACCAATAAAAAACTAGAAAACCCAATTCTTTTATCTTTTTCTTAAAGATTTATTTTTTATTTATTTATGCATACAAGAATGGGGGTGAGGGGATTCACCAGAGACAGAGTGGGGAGCAGAACAGGCAGATCTACTGAAATACACTGCTGAGGGGAACAGCGGGTGAGACAGGAGAGGCGTGGTTGGGATCTCCAGCCTCCCTGGTTGGGGATCGAACTTGTACTGCAGTAGCTGCTGAGAGCTTCATAGTGCTAAGACTTAACGGCTTGCACCACCTGGGAGGCCCCAGTTTTTTTTTTCTATTCTTTCAGAGATTAGGGATTTTCTCTGAATATAAACAGTATCATACTAGATTCATTTCTAACATGACTTGTGTCATTTCAGGACACAATTTGGGCATCAGGTCTTATTAAGAATATAAGATGAGAGCTACCTCATTTTTAATGATGCATAATATATTGTGTGACTATATTATAGTAAATTTTGAAAGTCCCTTACTGATAGTCATTTAAATTGGTTTGATCTAATAAATTATTTGTCTACATGTACGAAACTTAAAAATTTGGTTTTGCTGAGTTATAAATAAATACTTATAAAAGTGCTATCCAGTCTGTGAAATAGAATTTACTGGTACTTCTGAAAATCTCCAGATTGTAGCCCCCAATTCCACCCACTCCTGATCACATTCCCCTTCCTGCATCCTGAAAGTGACTGCAAGATTGGCTCTTTATATCTTTATCACCTTTGTATGTATTATTAAACAAAAGTTTGGTTGTGACATTTATTGTAAACAATTACTGAAACATAACAAACATACAGAAGCATGCACAAGCCACAGCTCAGTAAATTCTCACAAGAACATACCAGTCTAGTCACCACCTAACTAGTGTACATTCTTTCATAACTTTTCCACTCAACATCAGTCCATAAAAACCATCATATTGAGTATCACTTAATTTTTTGTTATTTTCATTGCTGCATTAGACTTATTCTCACCCCAACTGTCTTTCTTCCATGGTCTAAGGTGCATCTGCTTCTTAAAAAATTTGACGCAAAATTCTAGGACGTAGTTATCTAATGAAATTCAGCTTCTTTTTGAGATCTTCAGGATTTTGTATCAACTCTCTCTGCATGGTCCTGGAGTATAAATAGCCAATTATAGAACCATGGTTTGAAAAAAGTTTAAAGGTCACTTGTGCAAATATCTGGCCCTGGATCGCCCTTACAGTTTTCCCAATAAAACCTTATCTAGCATGTATTAGTTTCTTTGCACAGAATTCCAATTTTTTTCTTCTAGAACATAATCAGGTGTTTTATATTCAGGTCATTTCAAGGATACCTTACTGTTCCCTGTGAACAAGGACTCAGTCTTCACTTGAAAAATATTAAATATCCAAAAAATGGAATTTAGACCAACAACATGGTGAAATAATTTTTGATAAATCTCTCCCCTAAGAACAACCAGAAGGAAACAAATATACACAGAAAATTTCACTGGCTTGTCGCCAGCAATGAGGACTGACCCACAGATAATTTACTGGAGGTTAGCTTATTGTGGTAGCAAGGAAGGGAGTTGCAGTTGAGGGGATGACCATTTCAGTCAGCTGAACAAGCTGGGGATTGGGCACAGACTGTGCTGCACAGACCATATATGGGGAAGCTTTTCAGTGAGGATGGCATGCAACCTTTCATGCACGTGGGAGCTGGGGCCTTTGGTTCAGTGTCAGAGAACCTGGCTGCCAACAATATGGGTAGTGGAGACCCAGCCTCCCGCCCTAGGGAAACGAGAGAGACCTGCTACACGCTGCATGGAGGGAGCAGCAAGGAGGTAGGAACCTGGAATCTGGGCTCTGTGCAGCAGTGATCAGCGCTTGCTCTGAGGCTAGGAGAGAAGAGGCATAAACCTGCCTGAAATAGTGCTCCCTCCCAACCAAGACTCACACTGAGCCTTTGGACTCCAGCTTCCCCTCCCTCCTTTGCCCACTGCCAAATTAAACAAAGAAGATAAACAAACAAAACTACAGCTACATTGCCCCAACCAAAAAAAAACCAAATGAGGCAAAATGCTTGTCCAGGAGACAAAGAACGTTTGAACACAAAATGGAAAGAGAAGAATAAAAGACTTATACACTGAAAACTACAGGACACTGCTTAAGAAAATGAAAGGTACAAAGATATGTAAAGATACCCCATGCTCATGGATTGGAAGAATATATATTGTCAAAATATTGTAAAGATGGCCATATTACGTAAAGCAATTTATAGATTCAATGCCATACCCATTAAAATCTCAAAGAGATTTTTCAAGGAGCTAGA